TTAGTGCCCACACTCACGTCCTCACTGCCGCTGCTTGGTAACGGCTTCCAACTGCAGACGTTCCCCTTCCTCTGGGTTCCCGAAAGGTCCCCAGCCTCAGCTACTAGCTTCTCACAGCAGTAGCTCACAACGACTGAACCCCAGCGGTTATCTGAGTAACTCACCAACCAACCCCTAACTCTAGCTCCTTAGCTCAAGCGGTTAGTCGCTGGCTTCCCACCACGGCGGCCCGGGTTCGATCCCGGTTCTGGTCAAGTGGGATTTAAGGTGGACAAAGTGGTCCCAGTACCGCGGAACTTATGACTATATTTTACTGTCTCAGATTCGAGACTCCCCCTACCTGGAAGGTCAGCCACCGTATTTATGTTCTCCAGGGACAGGGTGACCCAATTACACCCCCATGCACTTGGCTTCCTACGACTCGCAGAGCTACGGTGGAGGTATTCGAAGCCGCCTCCACGCAGGGAAATTTTTCCCTAGGAAACCAGGTATCCACAGAGCTGTTCCCTAGCAATGACTGTTGTACCGTGGCCTGTTTACACAGCAGTTAAGCAGTATTTAAGTTTTCACCAGAAACATTCACATTCCTCTGGTTTCGCTATTATGCGGCATCTGTACCTTAATTGGAAATGATTGCAGTCTGTGCTGTATTTTATATAATGACGTTATTGTGATTATTTACCGCTATTGATTGATGAGGGGAAAATGTAATAGAGTCACCGGCACGCATTGTGAAACACTGTCTCATGTTAGGTTCAACTGATATCCTAATATGGGAAATACCAATTTTGTTACAAATTACTTTCATGTTGTTATGCAATCAAAACAGTATCTTCTTGTGATGTCGAAATGTGTAGTGATTGTGTAAGTGCATGATTGAAACAGTATCTCATATGTATTGCAGCTTTTGAGTAAGCTATGCCATTTATCCTTTGTTCTGTCAAAATTGCATTCAGGACAAAATTAATATCACATTAAATTCGAGGAATGTTTGCCACATTGAGTCGAGAATCCTTTGCCTTGTGGCGTGTTACACAGGGTGTTCCAGGAGGAAAGGTCAGTATTCTACGAGGTTATAGTATCGGTCATTCTAAGCAAGAAACTGTATATCTACGTGTGTCCTATTCTGATTAGTTTTCGTGATTATACTGTACACTTCCAAAATTGTTGATAAAAAAAAAAGAGATATTGCGTGCTGTTTCTAATACCGGCATTTCTTGTTCAAGTGACAAAGTTGGTGCACTATACCTAGTACAATACATTTTCGAAAATTCCACCGTCAGCATCAGTGCACTTTGCAACTCGTGTGAGGACATGGTGTGGTGCCCGTCTGTAGAGTGAAATAGACCTGGCTCGGAAACCGTTAGGAACAGGACTCATACAGTTTTCCCCCCTTAGAATCACCGATACTATGAGCTCCCAGAATATTGACTTCTGCTCCTAGGACAATTTATATAAACCGGAGCTAGAAATAGGGTTTTTTTTATTGCTAGTGGTGTGGGACTAAGTCCCTTGTACTGAGGCCACTTCTGGCCTATTGTACCAGCCCCAGATGATAGGTGAGGGTGATTGTGGAGCAATTGGTGGAATGAAGATTGGCAGGGGAAGCCGAAGTACTCGGAGAAAACCTGCCCCAGCGCCACTTTGTCCACCACAAATCCCACTTGACCAGACCCCGGGATCGAACCCGGGCCGCCGCGGTGGGAAGCCAGCGACTAACCGCTTGAGCTATGGCGCGGCCTAGAAATAGGAATTACTTGACCCGTGTGAAGGTGGGTTCGAATACCTCCACCGTGACCCTGCGAGTCGTAAGAGGCGACGTAAAGGGAAGTCTCAAATCTGTGACAGTAAAATATGGTCACGAGTACCAAGGGACTCGGACCCGAGAAAGTCTGCGCTGGCAAGGGCCAGCAACCTATACAAAGACAGAACCGTCCTCTCGTCAGAGAGGGCGCCCAAGAAAACAAGAACGTAACTGTCAGACAGTAATAAATATCCGGTCATGAGCCCCAGGAGAGTGCTTTATGCCAACACAGACTGGCCGAATGATCGTCGGTCGTAAAATGAGACTCAGACTCAGGAATTTCTATCAAATGTTTCGACTACATTTGTTATGGGTCATTTCACGAAGCTCTTAATATCTAGACCATAGAGCTTTGAATGGTACGGCGATGAATGGAACATGAATTGGAGCGGATTCGGAAGGAAGCGGCCGTCGCGTAATCGAGATATCCTGGCCGGGATACAAACCGAGTACCAAAGTAGAGTTACCGTTTCGCTAACCCGCCGAGTGTTCCACTTGTATGTCCAGTTTCACGAGCCTTAGTGTTCCGAGGCAGTATCAGATTTTGAGATGAAATTAGTCACGCTGGCCTCAAGTATTGGGTAACTCAGCGCTGCGCTAACCTTGCACTGATCCAGATTCACTGCGACATGAAGGAGAGGACCTCGGTTTAGTTCGGTCAGACCGTCGCCAGATGGCTGAAGTGTCGCTCATTAATTAAGGCCATAAAAACACTGAGAGGTGTTCATTTATTTTTTGCTTAACATCTCTCTAGAATCTTAATACGCCTAGTTTAATGTAGTATCTGTCGCTTGTACACAGGTACGTCATCGTTTGGTGACGTCAATCGTTGCGTCGACATTATGAAGTCACTGGATAACTGTTTCATGTCGGAGAGTCGTGTTTGGAAACCCAGCAGTCGCTCGGCCACTCAAGATTCCCAATAGTTTATGGAACCACACGGCTCATTACCGTGTTCACAGAAGCCCCCCCCACCACTGATCCCTGCGTTGAGCCAGATTAATCCAGTTCACACCCATCCAAATTCTCTGCATTACGTTTTAATATATCCTCCCATCTGTGTCTAGATCTTTCTAATGGCCTGTTTCCTTCAGGTTTTCCTACTAATACCGTGCATGCGCTCTCCCTCTCGCCCCTCTTCTGCGGTTAAATTTCTGCATCGCCCCATAAACATATTTAATGGTTACCTGGAGTAAAGCGGTCGGGGCGTGAATCTGACAAGAAAACGTGGATCTATACATTCACTCCCCCTACGCCTTCATGGCAAGGACCGCTTTACCTTTTACTCATAAACACGTAAGGAGCCGGGATAGCGATGGGCTGGGCGGCCGGTGTTCGAATCCCAGCAGGAGCAATGTTTTTTTTTCATTTCACAGCGTCCAGACTGGATCTCAGACCCACCCAACCTCCTATCCAATGGGTACCGTGGGCTCTTACCCTAGGGGTAAAGCGGAAGGGGCGTGGCGCTGACCACTCACCTAGTGCCGACGTCAAGAATGGTGGAGCTATACTTCCTCTCCTCCATGCCTTCATTTCATAGTGCTTAATTAGTTAAGCACAGGAACAACTATGGCACTTGATGGAGATGAGTTGTCAGCTTCATGCTCCGGTCACTTTACCCCCGAGGGAAGAGCTTCCGATATCCATTTAACATGAGGTTGGGTGGGTCCCAAGGCCGGTCTGGGTGCTGTGTAGAGGAGATTAATCTTTTGCCTTCGCCAAATGTTGGATCTCGAACCGACGACCGCCTAGTCCTTCACCTTACTGAGCTACCCCGACTCGTCCCTTCTAATTTCTTCCTCTTTCCTGGCGCTGTAACCCTGTGTGGTTCTTGCCCCTCACCATGGTTTCGTAACATTACATTTTTTTCTGGGATGGGATCGGAAGCCCCACGCCCAAACCCCTAACTTTGGAGGACCAGAGGGTACAGTTGGTTTGGCCCCTACCTTTTGACCTGTCTGGCACGGGTGGCCCTACCAGAAGCTTGCCCTTCAGCGAGAACCGCTCTCCGGGTCACTGTGGCTCGCAAACCTCTTCCCACGATAAGGCGGTAGCCCTCGAGGGGGCCCTTGGAGTTTCTCAACAGAAATTTTATAACTGTTTTGGTAAAGAAGAAGCAGAAGGAAATGCATGTTAAGCAGGTTAATGTAGCGGTAACGCTGTAGACTTGTATTCTCTAGGTGCGTGGTTCAGAACTCTGCGGATACATCGGCGGTTGAGGCTTATCGTGGCCTCTTTAGTCCTTTGAAGCAAATACCGGGTGGGTACCTCGATTTGGCTACCTCCGCGTCCTTTCCAATCCTTACCAGTCCTGTCGACCTACACTTTGTGGTATGAGATTACGTCACTGTCGGAAATACGAGTAAATCGTAAAAATAAAAAGAAAACTCAGAAGTAAAAGTTTGTGGGGGGGAGGAAATGTAATAGGATCTTCGTTGTTGCTTGGAACTACGTCAGAGGAAAAGTTTGAAAAGTTCAGAGTTCTTTAACACCAAACTTTTTCATTTCCGGTCAAATGGTGTGTGGGTATAAAGGAGAAATATATATCTTGCAGTTCCTACCTCACAGGAAACAACCAGTTAATGCCATTTACAGAAATTATCACTTCATTATTATTATTATTTTGAGAATTATATTAAACACATAAATACACTGTGTGAACAAAATACATAGCTTTCGTAATATTAAAACTGGTGCTACATATGGTAACCACTGGGTTTTAGAGGATTTCAACGGGTCATTCATATATCACAAGATACCCCTATATTATTAATTTTCATTTGTTCTTAATCTTTATCTGTATATTATTCTTATTATCTGTCTAAAACATCTCTGCGGTTACGTCACACGTTGAATAGGTAACTTTACGGAAGAAAAGTCCATGGATGTCCAGTATGGTGAATTTAATTGTAATTATCTTCTGCGAATTGATACTAGTAAGTGAAGGTAAAGCTGTACCTGTGCTTAACTAATTAAGCGCTACGCCATGAAGGCGTATGGGGGAATGGATATGTAGATCCATATTTTCTTGACGTCAGCACTAGTTGGAGGTGAGTGGTCAGCTTCACTCCCCGGCCGCTTTACCCCCGGGGAAAGAGCCCCCCATACCCATTGGATAGGAGGTTGAGTGGACCCCAGAGCCATTCTGGACGACGTGGAAAAGAGAAAATTCTTGACCCTACCAGGACTCGAACTCTAACCTCTCGGTCGTCCAGCCCGTAGCCAGTCGCTATACCGACTGACCTGTCCCGGCTCCAATAGAATGTAGTAATGTTATAATAAAGACTTAAGGATCTCCCTTACTGTCTTATGATGACGTAACGATCACGTTACTATCTGGTGATGACGTAATCACGAAATGTTTTGGACACAGTATACACAGTTGTTCTGAGCGGACCCGAGGATACGGATATTTCTAACCGGCGATGTAAGCGGCAGCATGGGGTGCGTAGACGGCGGGGGTGGCAATATGAGGCGCATACACCGCCGGGGCGGCTACTATGGGGGCGGCAGCAGGAACAGCAACGGGTGCAGCAAGGGCGTGGTTGATTGAATGTGCGGTGTATGAACTACCAAAAGGCGCTAGTGCGTACGGCAGGGCTGCCAGGGGTGCAACACCAGCCTTTGTTACCGTTGTGAGCGCCATCAGGGTCGCCAAGGTGATCATCTGTAACATAATAATTCGATTATTTATTTATTTACATTCCTACTCAGCCCAAAAGCCAATTGTACAGTAAGCACGATGAAATAGAGAAATTAAAACAAACAAAACAACGCCAGCTGTAGCAATCCAATCCAGTCATGCCAACCAATATTCGAGCGGCAAAATTCAGAGTGATTTCTAAATTATTTTGATAGGGTTTCCGTTTATATGTCACAGAAAACCCATCAATAATTTAGAATCATCCTGTATATAGTATATATATCCATACTGAATACAATTAATATTTTAATAATTAAGAAAGTGCCGTTATAAATTATGATTTTGAGAACAGTTTTTGAACGCCATTTAGTTGAAAGTCAACCGACGTTTCGGAGGAACATCTCAATTTTCAGGGCCGAAGAATAAGCCAATGAATAAACACAGCATTGCATCCAAAAAGATAGAACTCTTCATATCCATTGCCATGAGAACGTCAAATCACATACGGAAACAATTTTGGTTCAAATTACGTCAAGGCCCCTACAAACAACATTAGCAGGAGACGGTTTCTGCTATAAGAGCAGACATTGAGCATAGAAAATAGTAAAATCTATAATCCCGATAGATTCTAAATGGTTCTGATGATGATGTATACTACTCAGAATTGCTGAGTTTTTTTTTTTTTTTTGGTTTTTGTCCACCATCCTGTGAACTAATATCTAGAGAACACAACGTTTCGGATGCTGAATCTGTTTCCATCCTCAGGTGATAGGTGGGAGATATCTACTCTGTTGGGTCCCTTAGTCCAGTAATTGAGGTCAACTGTTTCTAAAGGACCCAACAGAGTAGTGTCTCCCTCCCATACGTGAGGACGAAAACAGATTCATTTCCCGAAACGTCGTATTTTTAGAATACCTGACAATGGACAAAGGCCAAAAACCCGTAATTCTGAGTATAATTCAGATGTCTGTGTACAATTTTGGGAATTATTCTGTAGGTTATGTCGATGCTCACCATAGACTTGATCCACATGTTGGTGTTGTGTTATCGCTGGGATCAGCTGATGTGTGTCCTGTTCTTATTGTCCACTGTTTTTATACTGCAGCACTTGGCACCTCTGTGGTCCCCATGTCACCAAATAATCGTGAGCAGAATGCATTCGACATTCAAATGTTTCACTTCCTTTAGTTGCTATGGCAACACTATGCTTTCTCTTACTGTTTGGCACGCAGCACGTGAGGAAGACACTTCTGCCCATACATGAGGCACTGAGGCTTATTTGAAGTAACTTAAGCTGGAATTAATTTGCGCAGAAACACAGCAAGCTGATCTCACAATTCTCTTAACAAAAATTAAAAGAAATACGCAAACGGCAAGGTGATGTCATAAACCTCTTTTTATTTTTACAAAATGAGGAATGTGGACTGTGATCATGATTTATTTCACGTCTCTCATTTCAATTCATCTATCCATGTATCCCTTTCTCTCTCTCTCTCTACGTGTCTTTCTGTCTGTATAGTCGATGCTTCATCTCCAGAGAGGGACTTCGCAGTTGGAGAAACATCATTACTCTACAGCTCAACCAAACTTAGGGCTGCAGACTGGAATGTCTTAACCCGCTGGAGCGTGAATTTGTTTCTAAACACTATATAAAAATTCAGTTCCTACCTCACAGGAAACACGCTGCCTCTCATTATAAGGACCAAGCGACTAATGCAGTTTGTATTCGTGTGGGGCGCTGATGTCGCTAACCCAGTTTTCACGGCTCTGTTTGCCAGATTCATGATAGCAGCGCTGAAAGTGGCCACGCTTGACAGCCGCTGCGTATATTTCGTAACGGTTACGCGAGTTTTTGCGTAGAAATAAAATTTTACTACAGATTAAGGGTGTGGAATTATTGTAGCTCGCGGGCCATATCATCAGCTGACCACGAGCGGATTGGCATAGCGGTAACGTTTTGGATTCTTATTCGGGAGACTCTGGGTTCGAATCTAAACCAAGAAATCGGCTGTAATGACTAAGTATTATTATGTGATCGTCAACACAAGAGATTCGTAATAAATAAACCAGTATTATTACGTACGTTTGCTACATGTTTCGATCCAGCTGGATCGTCATCAGGAAATTTTCATGAAATGTTCTATTCTTTATTGTATTTCTAATGTGTATCCATATCATTGATCATTAATATAAATTTTATTACGATTCTTGTGTTTCATCTTAGAGAAATATGATGGGGTGATACGGACTGGATTGATCAGGCTCAGGATAGGGACCAGTGGAGGGCTCTTGTGAACACGGTAATTAACCTGCGGGTTCCATAAAATGCTGGGTTAGTATCTCGGCTTGGATACCAAATCATCTGACTGAGGTCCCTCGTGGTTTTCCTTAGTCCCTCCAGTCATAAGATGTAACAAGACTGCGGCAGGTTCCTTTCAGATCCTTTCCAAGTCGTTATTCACCGATGATAGACGCTATATACCCTTAGCTACTGTCATCGTCTATAAATGAGCAGTAACTCAGCCAGTAAATAAACCAACGGCCCTATCTTCCTATCATCTCTGTGGTGACGTCAGGAGAGCGCTGTAATCTATATTGTCTGACCTGTTTGCACTATGACGCTCTTCCTTGTTCAGCTGTTTTCTAGGCAGCGCATGCGTCATGACGTGGGTTCAGTGACCGTCCTTCCCACCCCCTGAGTTCGCCCAATCTGCTCTACTTTTGAGCGTGTTTCATATAAACCAATATACGCCTACTGTCTTGGAATTTTGAGCAGTTGGCTGTCCTGGGCCGGGTTCGTATTAACTCTCCAGCGTACTGCTGTGCATGAAGGTGATGGGGTGAAAACTCGGAAGAATTCTGCAATAACCATCATTGTTCAGTATTCTGTATATGCATGTGTGTGCAATACAACCATAACGTAGCGTCAGATTGTGGTAACATGTTCCGCCGGTAGAGAGCTCCACGCGCTTATTGCAAGTAGTACTAATCTTTACCGGAAGGTGGATCTGCCAACAGTACTCTACCTACATCCTTTCAAGTCTAACAGTACTCCTGTATCTCAGGTTCCCATACTTGTGTCTGTGAACAGTGCGCACACAGACACAAGTTCTACTACAAGCCAGAGGGTCGCGGGTTCGATTCCCGATGAAGTCATTGGATTTTTCAATTTACCTAATCCTTCCAGCCGCACTATGGCCCTGGGGTCGACTCAGCCTCTAACAGAAATTAGTACCAGGAAACTTCCTGGGGGTAAAGGGCGGCCGGAGCGCAAGGCTGACAACCTCACCGCCATCTGTGTGCCGATTGTCTAGAGAATGTGGGAATCTCGACATCTCACAACCCTATGGGCCTCCATGGCCTGTTGCAGAGATAGCTTTACCTTTGCTAACCGTTCATGGTAATCTTCCAGTGCGCTGTAACATGTGGAGATGAGATGATGTCTAATAAGGGAATGAATTTATCATGAAACGCGCTGAAATGTGCCCAGTGTTGACAACGATAGACAATAAAGCTGACTATTTATAGCTAATATAATGTATATGTCGATCGACCGCTATAACATAGCTTAACCCTAAACGTTTTTACCTACATTGCTTACTGCTGCCGTTCGTTTTCATGGTTACCAGGAAGTAATTTTATAAAATGTCTTGGTATTGTTTTCAAGACAAAAGTGACCTTTTAAAGCATTATATTTAGTATATGTACCACCTGCTTTAACATTAACGAATCCTATGCTTTAACTACAGGGTGTATCCGTATTCCATGCGAATCTTCCAATAAACAGTTTATTTCTCTAAACAGCGTCACCATGTTGGTCGTTCTTATGTAGGCGTTGTGTTTCCTGTGAGGTACGAACTCATTCTGCTAGTACCAGTCAGTGAGACATGGTGGAGGCCCGTGTGGAGCCGGGTTCGAATACCTCCACCCTAGCCCTGCGAGTCTTATGAGGCGACGCAAAGGGACCCCAGTGCCTCGGGGGTATAACTGGGCCACCCTGCTCCTGGGGGATATAAATACGGGGACCTGGCCCTCCAGGTTGGGGGAGTCTCGAATCTGAGACAGTAAAATATACAACTTCTTTATTAAAACCGTCACAACACAACTATATCAAGGTCAGTGCCTAGTTTTTGGCTCTGCTACATGTTTCGGCTATCAATAGCCATCATAAGGTAAATACACGGCTAATATATATACACCATTGGTTTACATTCCCTACAGAACGGACAATACTTTGTAAGATGAGGCACCGACTAAACAATTAACATTAATATTACTACATCTACATCACGAGCCTCCAATTACAGTTTTTATACACAAAATATAGAATACTCCAATTTGTCCATGGGAACGCAACAAAATTACAAAAACCAACGAATGACTCGATGATGTAAAGCATCAATTGAAGAATTTTATTCTTGTTTTATACCATAACTTTTGTTTTTATATAATCTAATTTATTGTATTTTTACGTCAAGTATTTTATATAATTAATATTATTTTATCCAATTTTACTAGTACTGCAGTTCAGTGGTGTATATATCATCATCATCATCTGTAATCTGTCAAGACGACAGGTCCACAGTCTCTTCCAAAACAATTCCTCCACTTAATGCGATCTAGAGCTTTCTCCTTCAAATGACAGTATCCTCTTCTGTCTCCAAGGTCATTCAGCATCTTCTTACGTCTTCTTGTCACTTCTATCCGCCCATCTATCTTTCCTTCGATAACTTCTTTTAGAAGGCAGTTTCTGCGTAAAACATGACCAATCCAATTAGCCTTCCGTTTTCTTATTTCGTGTAAGAATTAGCCGTGTATTTGCCTGATGATGGCTATGTAGCAAAGCCAAAAACTAGGCACTGACCTTGATATAGTTGTGTTGTGACGGTTTTAATAAAGACGTTGTATATTATAACACAACAGGATGCATGAAATGAAAAAAACCCCCAGTAAAATATGGTTATGAGTCCCGCGGGATTCGGACCCGAGAATGACTGCGCTGGCGAGTACCAGCAGCAATTGTAAACGACAGATCTTTCCTCCCGTCAGAGAGGGCGTCCCACATCGACAAATCCGCAAGAGTCGGACAGTAAAAAAAATCTGGTCTTGGGCCCCAGATGGGTGTTTGGCACCAAAATAGACTGGCCTACTGGCCGTCGGTGGTAACATAACTTTGACTTGAAAAATATGGGTTATGGGTTCTACGGGGCCCAAAGCCAAGAGTGACTATGCTGGCGAGGCTCATCAGCAATTTACGAGAGCAGTTCTTCAGGTTACAGACAGTTAATCTGTGAACCCATCGAGAGGATAGCCCGGTCAGTAAAGTAACTTACTACCAACTGTAAAATATATCATCCCGGTTCGATCTCTGGCAGTGGCAGATTTTTCTTCTCTTCGCTGCTGTGTCAGTCAGATTCGAAGCTCATACAGTCTGCTGTTCACACTGTGACACTTTTCTCCATTCAGAAGAGTTCATGCATATATAGGTTTTGTATCGGTAGAACTATCGGGAGAATATTTGGGTCTCATGCCTGATCAGGGTCAAGAGGAACAGCAGGCAGTGATGTGTTATCAAAACGGACCTTTCTGGGACCATAGCATGCGATCATATATAAATTCTGACTCATCATATTCTGACCCTGAAGATGGAGGCAGCATGTACCTCCGAAACGTCAGCAACGCTGCCCACAATTAGACGATGCAAAGACCGAAGGGTAGAATTAGTATCACGAGGGATTTATATGATCCCGGCCCTCTTGGTTTTAACCGAACTTTCACCCCCCCAGCAATTTTAAGTACCTGTTACCCTCTACAGTTTTGCATGTATTTATATTGTTTATAATTAGGTGATTTGAAATTAATAACATATGAAACCGTGAATAAGGAATTCATATTGTTAAAATGCTGCGAGGCTGTGTTTATTTGGCAATCAGTAATGTTGAAAGATCGTCCCCCGAATATTAGAGTGTTCTATGTAAGATTTGAGGCTTTCACGGCGGTGACTATGAAGAAAGCAGTCTTTTGGGATATACACGGCGCCAAATCCCAGAAGACTGCTTTCTTCATTAAAGTGTTCTGTCTCCAATTTGGGGTGAAAATGTGATAATACACTTCTGTAATTCTCGTATTGTGTTACGCTATCACCACGCACCCTCATAAGTTTGGCTTACTTGCAGATTTGAAAGTGTGTTTTATTCTGTGTCACATTTAAATTGCAGTTGATTTTCTGACTTGGAATTTAATTTCGCGGTTATTGGTGATGCTGGATATAGTACACTCCTACATTCAAATGACGAAATAGCGAAGCCCGATCGCTCGAATTTTTGCTTGTAACATCAGGATTAACAATTCTGACGAGATATTGTGGAGCGGGTGATTAAATTCGTGCAAAAGGAATTACATCAGCTTAATATGACATTAAATTTTGATTTTCTTTCATGTTTCGCGCCTCCTAGTTCGGGAACCAGTGGGGTAAGGAGTCGTGAGGCTGTCACTGGACAGGGAAATACATAGGAACCGTGGATACACAGGAAGTGTGTCACAATAAGTTCACTGAACCTTGTAACAGAATAATAACATTTTATTTCCGTGTTTGATCAAGACTTAATCCGTTACAGCGTCGGGGTTTCGCTACAGAGCGGTGAGCAGTCCTGGCGGGGTGTAGGGGGATGTTATACGAGGGCTGGAATTGCAGCTACCCTGGCGGCCAAAGCTGACGGGGGGTGAACCTGTTCAAACAAACAAAATATCGAAATAATGAAATTTCCTGCGTTTGCAATTGTGTTCCGTGTTCGCAAGTCTTCCTGTTATATAACATAGCTCTGCTATTCTCAGACATAAAGCAATACAGTATTATCTTCAACGATTTGATGTCGTGTAGTCTGGTAGAAGTTCAACATTTCGGAGGAAAATAATGCCTTAAATTTCAGGGTTTAAGAGTAAGCCAAGCAAATATGCAATAAGCGAACTTACTCTTCAACCCTGAAGATAGAGGCAGTATGTTTCTCCGAAACGTCCGTTGACTGTCACTGGACTACGGGGCGTTATATCGAAGAAGATAGAACTCTTCGTACGCACCGCTATGAGAACGTGAAGTCCGCCATCATCCAGTATAGTTAAGGTGAACGGGGCAGGTAATTTGGGTGGGGAAGGCAAGACCTCGTACACATTTATCACCGAAATCTTTTTGTAAGGCGACCACTTGAATGACCAAGAAATAGATAAGAGTATACCATTGCAAGATATGTGTCGTTTCCCCACAGCATCCGGTCTGGCTCTGGGGCCTATCCAATTGAAACAGCGGGCTCTTTCCCAAAAGGGTAAGGCGACTAGGGTGTGAAGTTAACTACGCACATCCGTCTTTCGCCCGTTAAGAATGCATGGAGCTATACCTCCACTCCCCATATCTCTACACTGTATGGTGGTTAGTTAATGGAACATAGGAACAAATTTACCTTTGAGAGAGTTGTGAGGATGGGAGGTGGATGGATCTGGCTTAGGATCGTATCCAATGGCTTGCTTTTGTTTTAGCGGTGTTGAAACTTCGGGTTCTGCCACCACAGAATTTGGTCGGATGGTTCACAGCACATCATCTGCCTTGAGTTTAGAGAGAAATCGCCTCCTATCAAACCCAGAATTCTATTAGTTGCTCCACAACATTATATACTTACCGCGTACGCAGGCGCAATTCCTGCAGGAGCAGCTGCATAAGCTGCAGGGGCCACGACGGGAGCAGCAATGGGACCAACAGGGGCTGCAGCATAAGCTGCTGGAGCTACTACAGGACTAGCTGCATAAGGAGAAACTACAGGACCAGCTGCATAAGGAGCCACTACAGGACCAGCTGCATAAGCTGCAGGAGCAAGTAGGGGCGCAGCCAGGCCTCTTGTCTGTACATTTAGAGCTGCTGCAAAGGGAGGGATGTTGTAGGGAACTGCGCGCGCATATGCTGCCACGGCTGCTGGAGCAGCTGCGTAAGCTACTGGGGCCGCTACTCCTGGCGCGCCCACAGCGCTGTGAGCGGTCACTGCAAGAACTATGGCAAGGACGGAGATCTGTAACAGAAATATTTGCTGCTAATTTTAGGATTTCACGGCTGTTCGTTGCTGATAACGATCCTGCTAATGTGTCTTTACACAGTGTGAATGTGGGCAGTGTTTCCGACGTTTCGGTGGTTCAGTATTTCTCATCCTCAACGTCGGAGTAGGGTAGATTAGTGTTGTATATGTAGATTTTGATCCGAGGTTGGGGCTGGTGTCGAGTCCTCGAGCAATAGGAATATCCAGTGGTTTTGGTACACTATTTTTAGTCCTGAAAGTGGCCGGTTTTAATAAAATTTTCATGTCTATTGCCCATATTGACCCGGAGTGGGCACCATCTTTCCCCACCTTTCCGCACGTGGGACTTTTGACTAACACGAATACTCATCCATAATTTCAAACCTGAATATGCAGGCAAAATGTATCTCCGAAACGTCAGCCCACATCCACATGGCGCAAAGGCCGAAAAGCAGAGACATCTGTTGTTCTATGTAACAACAACTGAAATTTTTGTAATGGATTGGAAACCTGAATGTTTGCGAATTATTATGTTCGTTGTCTTAATTTTGAGGAAACTGCAATTCAGATGGACTCTTAGGCCCAGCAAACACAGGGATCACGACGTTGAGGGTAATGTGTGTTTTAACAATTACAAAAATGAACTTTAACACTTCTCCTCATGAAACCACTCGAGAAGCGGTTAAATGGTAATAGACAAAATTCCAATTTTAGATAAGGCAAGACAATAATTGACTCTTTTCGTTAAGGCATACACATATTTATAACATCTGAAGTATAATGACCGTCTCTGTGGTCTAGTGGTCAGAGTACCTAGCTACAGATGCAGAGGTCCCGGGTTCGACTGCCGGCGCTACCAGATTTTCTGATAAGTGGTGGGTCTGGAACGGGGTCCAGTCAACCTCGTGCGGATAACTGAGGAGCTATTTCAAGGAAATAGCGGCTCCGGTCTAGAAAACCGAGATTAACGGACTTGGGGATCCGTTGCGCTGACCACACGACACCCTCTATCCGCTAAAATTGGCACTAACTTCGCCGACAAACGGCGGTCACTCGGTCGGTATAGTTCGCTTGCGAACTAAAAGCCACGGCGTTTGTTTTGTTCTGAAGCACAACTCACTAAATGTTTATCGGAGCGAAAAATTGTTCAAACAGATGTTGCAGAGAAGAATGAAATATTTGTTATTCGATACAAATTTTAAAAATAAAAAAAATTAAAAACACTGTCCTGCTTATTGGTCTAGAGATAGGGACCAGCTCTATCGATTGGGCCAAACTGAGTTGGCTCCTCCTGAAGACGGAGACAGAATCCAGTTTCCGAAATGCTGTGTTTTGAAAAAAAATAAACATGACGGTGTTTTTAGACAAAGACAAGACGATTGATAATGTCCAGAAACACAATATCTGTACTAATGTACCATCGTAGGCCGCGCCATAGCTCAAGCGGGAAGGTTTTCTCCGAGTACTTCGGTTACCCCTGCCAATCTTCATTCCACCAATTGCTCCACAATCACCCTCACCTATCATCTGGGCCTGGTACAGTAGGCCAGAAGTGGCCGCAGTACAAGGGACTTAGTCCCACCCCACTAGCAATAAAAAATGTGCCATCGTCACAAACTTTAACCAATGATACGTTTGTTCCTTGCAACTCACCATGCTGGATGAGTACATGGCTCTTGTGATGTGCTGCGCTTCGGCTTGTGTGTGTGGCATGTGGAACAAAGGGAGAGCGTTATATACAGGTATGGCGGGTGGGCTCTGCCCAACCAGAATTTCAAGGAGGGAGAGAAATTTCTGTGAGCCGTATCTAGGTGCCAACAGTACATTGTTGCATCACTTGTCGTCAAGTTGCAAGTAATAGCGATTCAAGTCCAGATACACAGTTTGTTATCGTTATCTGGATGTTTACACCGTATAATCGTATTGCTGGATACCGACGTTTCGGAAGATAATCTGAGCACGCAGTTTGAAAACCCAAAACTAATTCATGTACTTCAACATATATAAGCATAGTAACCAATATGCTATAAGACTTTGTTTCTCAAACTGTGGGCCTCGATCCTCTAGGCGAAGGGGTCGTTAAGATCTCAAGAAATATATAAAAGACTAGTTATATCCATGCACAATTTTGGAAAGTCGGCGATAATTAACGTAAATTGTTTCAGAAAATATAACTGCAGCCGGCAAAACGTATCGCGTATTATTTTCGTGATTTATAGCTTACTTTAGGTGTAGAGAGGTTGTAAAGCTCTTGTAACTTGTCTAGCCGTTGCTATGCAACGACCGCGAGATGAACAATTATATAAGACCCGTTTCTGGGCAACGGCTCTGTAAACACGTTCCCGCTCCAATGGTTACGCATGCAGCGGGGGAAACGGTGTTATCTACGCGGTCCGCTCCGAGGAATTATAAAATGGAAGAAAATTAGGACAACCAGGTGCAGTTGAGCTCTGCACGAGCGGCTGTGACAAGACTGAGCGCGGGAAGCTGAAGAATCGCCACTGTTTGAATCCGTTACTAGGGAACGGCTGATGAAGATACGGCAGGCTGGATATGGCTTACCATATGCTGCGGAGATCAGCAATGGCACTGTAATTACTTGTAGTTCCGAGATGTGTCAATTCAGTATCCAATCCGTAGCCCCTCTGTACTCATTCCCAAAATCGTGGCACTATTTAGGTTCCAGCTGTCACGGTACAGTTTGATGGGGCCCTGGAACAGTTTGCAGAACTGCAATTATGAGGAGGAGGGGAGGGTGGTTTAACTTTGTGTATTATTTAAGCGTGTCGCGGTATGACAAATTTCGGTATTTTTCTCTTCCGTCTTTAAGGTGTGCGAGATAGTTTCAGCATTTCCTTCGTTTCTTGTGTCACTTAGCTGCCGAATGCGTGTTGGCAGTGCGCACAGCTGACAGAGAAATCAATCGCAACACGTGATAGTGATTCAGATTGTGTTAATTGGCACGAGCGGAGCATAGGGAACCTCTGTTTCAGTGAAGTCTGCAGTTTCCTTATGCAGTGCACAGTGATGTGACGACTGACACTGTCGAGATATGAACTTCCTCGTTGCATTTCCCGACTTGATTAGCTCTTTAAAGCCTGGCGGGTATTGCATTTACCACCAAATCTGAGATTACACAAAACTCTGCATTCTGCCCACACAGTGTATCTGTGTGTTCCGTATGGTTCTCACAGTAAACAGCGACTGTTTCCCTAAACAGCATTAACCGGTTGGGCTTTGTTATAGAGACGTGATGTGTTTCCTGTGAGGTACGAACTGAATTTCTGTATATTCTGCCCACACAGTGTATGTGTGTGTTCCGTATGGTTCACACAGTAAACAGCGACTGTTTCCCTAAACAGCATTAATCGGTTGGGCTCTGTAGCGGAGACGGAGTGTTTCCTGTGAGGTACGGACTGAATTGCTATATATTCTGCCCACACAGTGTATCTGTGTGTTCCGTATGGTTCTCACAGTAAACAGCGACTGTTTCCCTAAACAGCATTAACCGGTTGGGCTCTGTAGCGGAGACGGAGTGTTTCCTGTGAGGTACGGACTGAATTGCTATATATTCTGCCCACACAGTGTATGTGTTGCACTGCATGCCTCACATGCAGCCCTCCCATTGTTAACATCAAAATTTCGCCTTAATATAGCCCTCCCAACGTTAGCAAAAACAAACAAACAAAAATCCGATCATATGCTCTATCTTTACCAGAAGGACAAGCGGGCACTGCCTGGGAACCTTCAAAATCGGAGATATAGTTCCCCCCCCCCCAATGTATGTTTGTTCCGTATGGTTCTCACAATAAACAGCGACTGTTTCCCTAAACAGCATTAACCGGTTGGGCTCTGTAGCGGAGACGGAGTGTGTTATGTATGGATTACTTACAAGATACTCGTGCTTCAAGGGGCACAAATAACTAACATTATTTGCATTTGAAGTATCTGGAGAGAGTGATTAATGTCACAAGGGCGTTAGTCGGGATAACCTGGGATCTCTGGAATACGGAACAGGAATGATAATACTCGACCAGCTCCTTAATTAGTTAGGAAATTGAGCTAAACCAGTTTGACAGCTGAACGGTGATATTGTTCCAGGGCACACGAGTCTTGTGATTTGTTGTGACAACGGCGTGACGATATTCGTTTCTGCTGCTCCCATTGTCTCTGTGATTTCTGGACGAAAGTGAGAGTTGGTGGCGCCATGTTTATTGCGTGCTTTGACTAAACAACGACTAACTGACAGGAAGTGAAAGCTTTGTAACGTTACGGATTTGTCAAAGAAGATCTGCTTCTTGTCTTCAAGTAATGTAGGTCAGTGGATCAAACTCTGATCGTCCGTCCTCAAGTCTTTTACTTAGCATTGACGGGCTGTTTGCAGAAGGCACACAAAGCGAACGCATTTATAAGACCCGGGGGGCACGCGGTAGCGTAGTTGGTTGCAGCACTATGCTCCAAGTCGGAAGGTCGCGGGTTTCATTCCTCGATAAGGTCACTCGATTTTTCAATTAACCTAGTCCTTCCAGCCTCACTGAGTCCCTGGGGCCGACTCAGCCGCTAACAGAAATGAGTACCAGGAATCTTTCTGGGGTTAAAGGGCGCCCGGCGCGTAAGGCTGACAACCTCACCGCCATCTGTGACCTGAATGTCTAGAAAACATGGGAGCCTCGACGTCTCACAACCCTATGGGCCTCCAAGGCCTGTTACAGGAATAGCTTTACCTTTTTATTTAATGAACCAGTAAGAAATCATCCCTTTTCACTTGATTATTTCCCTATTTGTTTTCTTATTTTTTCAATTCTATCTTCTCCCCTGTTTTTTATTACAAGCTGATGCCATGCGAAGATAAGAATTGTAGCTCCAGAAGTATGAACCCTTCAGATGGGCCCCCAAAACACAAAATGGTTATTTTCTCGGAAGAAAAGAACTCTTGGCTGTTTGGATTAAATTCACGTAATTTATGGGCACCATCTGCCTAAATCAAAACTGCATAGGTTCCGGGAAAATAAAGGTAGGCGTACTAAGGGTTGAAACGCGAAATGTTCATTTTGTCAAAACCTGCTCTACTGGTGGGACGGATTTCATTCTTGTTCGGTAGTCAGCAACCAGCATTGGTCTACCGAGCACGAATGAATGTCGTTTCTAAAGTAACTTAAGCAGTGTATATGAGAATGTTTCTGCATTGATTTTTAGCCTACTTTCCCAAAGTAGGCTTATGCTATCACCATGCTGCCTGTGTATCTGTGAATCCCTCTCTCATTAACTTTTGAGTGCCTGAACCAATCTTTATGAAATTTGGTTGGTATATCATGGCAACTGAGTCCGTCTCAACGGTGTATTTCATAAATCCCTCCCATCAGTCTGTGTGTCTGTATGTGTATCCCCATATATCGTTTCTAGGCAACGGCTCTGTAAACACATTCCTGTGACAACGAATACACGCAATAATAAGATAATTTTTGGAGACCTCGCTTTCTGTGTGGTCCATGTCCTATCAAAGGAGAATCTGGGTCTACTTATTCCCCTATCGTCGCTAGGTAACGGCTCTGTAGACACGTTCCCGCGGCAACGAAAAATTAAGAAGGCGTCGTTTTATATACGACCCATCTCGTGTATTAGGAAATTAGATTACTAGTTCTTCCCAGAACTTCTTGTTTTCTTCTCCATCTCATCTTCTTTGTCCCCTTATTTCCTATTCTTTCACATCCTGCTCTCTTTTCAGTGTTCGTACCCACACAGTTGTGTTTTTATGTTCTCAAAACAACGGAGAAAATTGTGTTTGTGTCGATACGAATACAGGATGTTTCGTAACTCTTATGTCCCGAGGTCATTCCCAGTCAGCCACGAACGTGTATCCGATTCTCGAAAGTAAAGGAGCTGTGGAGGGATGTTCTCTACAAAGCTAAGCTGTGTCCATAAACAAGTTCTTGCCTTGTACAGTTTACAGTGAACGCTCGAAGTGATCGCATTTAGCTGCGATAACATGTTCTTGTTCTTGTTGAGTGCGTAGAAGTGTCGCGACTTGTTGGGTCATGTACGTCGACTGGGCGGTCCATTTCTTGTGTCCCTGGCCCCAAACATCGAAATTTGTTAAACTGAAGTCCGGTGATCTCTGTGGCCAGCTCTGTAGTATAACCACTGATCAGGGAACTCGTGATTAAGGTACAGAGTTCCTTGTCTATTCAAATGCAGAGATGCAACGTCATGCTGTAGATAACACTAAACGTATACTCAAGAGAAACCTATTCTAAATGTTGGGACTGTTGCTTTTACCAGACCCTGGTTTCAATCTCACCTGTAGGACGTTCTTGTGTATTCGAAAAGTGATTATAATTGTGGGATACGTGCTGGAATTTGGGTTCGATCTCCGGCATGAGCTACTGATTTTTCTTACCTTCACCGTGTCTAAGGTCCACCCACCTCCCTAGATAATGGGTACCGGGTAGCTACCTTAATGTTAAATAAAAATATCATTTTAATGCAGTCCTTCAAACTTAGATGTCAAGTTTCTGTTGTCTGCTTAAAACAAACTCAAAATTCTAACAGTTTAATTTCTTTACTTCACTACGCTTTACCCTATCGAAAACATATCTGTCATAAGGATGTGTTGGCACTGCCTAGAAAACTTTTTAAATGTTGAAAAATATTCTGTTCCTGTTTCCTTAAACGCTGTATCTCTTTCTCCGCAACCCCCCCCCCCC